CAATTAGAGTCCCATTAAAAGGAAATAATATACAAAAAGGAGGCGAATAACGACCCGTGTGATGTGATATTCCTCCACCTGTTCCATTATTTCATCGTATCAGAACACCTCAGGGTGCGTTATCGCTTGTATATCTTGGAAAATAACCACTGTCATCTTTAACGTACAGTTTAAATGCGAAAAAAGGCTAAAACCAGTTTTCTGACGTCAGAAAAAGGGATTTCCTGTGAATCATCTTATATCAAAATATTAGATAAGTATATATTTGGTTTCTTGGAAAAATCGTAATCTCTTAAATCATAGTTATGTGGGCTTCAATCTAGTATAGTCTCGAGTCTAATACAGACATGATTCGAACCCACAAAACTAACCTCTGTCATCTTTAAAAATCACTTCAAAGACCTCAGAAGTGGAAGAAAAGAAATTCAGATTGTTTTCAAAACAAAAAATCTGACCTCCAAGTGAAAAGAATAAGAAGCGTGAGCCGAGTCTGTGGGCGAGCGAGGGAAGGAAGAGGCGATGAGAGAGTGGACAAAGACACGGAGATGGACAGACAGATAGACGACGAAGACGAGGATGAAGAGCGTGGCGGAGATGGACTGACTCCCTTTTTCGAGATAACGGATCGTCATGGCGACCTGCCTGTCACTCAGTCTGTCAGCCACATCCACTCCTGGCCCCATTACACCCCGACACACACAATGGCTCTTCTGTGTGTGTGTGTGTGTGTGTGTGTGTGTGTGTGTGTGTGTGTGGTGTGTGTGTGTGTGTGTGTGTGTGTGTGTGTGTGTGTGTGTGTGTGTGTGTGTGTGTGTGTGTGTGTGTGTGTGTGTGTGTGTGTGTGTGTGTGTGTGTGTGTGTGTGTGTGTGTGTGTGTCCATACCCGTAGAGCTATTAGCAGGTACTCAGAGATGGCAACAGTACACACATCCTTTCCTCAAGTAGAAGTACAGATACTCTTGTTTTAAAATACTCTGGTAAAAGTAGAAGTACTGACTAAACTTCTGTACTCAAGTAAAAGTAAAGAAGTATGGGCTTTGACATGTACTTAAGTAAAAAGTACCAGTAACTAGCAGCTGTTTTAAAGAGTACCTGACCTCCCTTTATATGAATAGAACAATAATGTCATTGTTAGCTAATGAATGTTTCCATGCTGAACAACGGCAACATGACAACGTTTTCATTGGTCGCTATTCTTTAGAGAAGACCAGGAAATGATGGATACACGGATCGTGTTCAAATCAATAGGCACGCAATGACTCTAAATAATAATGATCACGCCACCAAACACACATTCAAACTAAAGGAACCAGCCTGTTTGGGAAATGTGAGAAGTAGAAAGTACAGGTATTTGTGTTCAAAATGTAAGAAGTAGAAAGTACAGGTATTTGTGTTCAACATGTAAGAAGTAGAAAGTACAGGTATTTGGGTTCAACATGTAAGAAGTAGAAAGTACAGGTATTTGTGTTCAACATGTAAGAAGTAGAAAGTACAGGTATTTGTGTTCAAAATGTAAGAAGTAGAAAGTACAGGTATTTGTGTTCAACATGTAAGAAGTAGAAAGTACAGGTATTTGGGTTCAACATGTAAGAAGTAGAAAGTACAGGTATTTGGGTTCAAAATGTAAGAAGTAGAAAGTACAGGTATTTGTGTTCAACATGTAAGAAGTAGAAAGTACAGGGATTTGTCTTCAAAATGTAAGAAGTAGAAAGTACAGGTATTTGTGTTCAAAATGTAAAAAGTCAAAGTAAAAAGTCATCAGAAAAATAAGTAGTGGAGTAAAGTACTGATACCAGAAACATGTACTTAAGTACAGTAACAAAGTATTTGTACTCCACTACGTCCCACCTCTGGTAAAGGACCAACTGGAGAGCCAAACCCCCAAAACAGCAAAACTCTCCATGTTTGAGTGACACTGGAGACCTGATGGCCTTTTCTCCATTCTCTGTGGTATACATGATCTTACATCTCACCTGAAAGCTGTAAAAGCACCCAGAGATTTGTACACAATCCGCAATACAAGATTAAAGATCTAAGTCCTACAGGTTAAAGTGCCGAAATAACTCATTTTTTAAACTCAAGGTCTGGTTTAACTTGATTTGAACCTGGATGTTTGGTTACAGAGCATGGAGTAACTTCCTCTTGCTGGTAAGAATAGACTGACAGAAGCCAAAGAGGAATAAAGAGCATTATAGCATTATGCTGCAAATCAGCCAGAGTCCATACGGTTAAAATAATAATAACTAGTTGGACCTCTGGTAAAATGATCCATCCTGCAACTCTAATCCACGCATAACATTCCTGGTTTCTTCTTTGGCCGATGCTATAATCTTCCAACAAGTTTAAGGCTAATCATTTGCTCTGTAATATGGCTAACAAAACCTTCACCCCTTAACACATGTATGTGATGAAATGAACAGTAAACGATCAAACTTTGAGATGTTTCTCCAGCTAATAACACATAAAACTACATTTTCCTACACTATTTTTACTTTATTGATCAGACTTTCACCTGCTTTTGAACTATGAAGTCCAAGTTAGTGCCAGTGACACAAGCTTTTCTCATATTTACAATAATTACTGTGTAAAAGTGCAGTTTTAATCCTTACTACGCACATTAAACAGAGGCAGATCCATTGGCTAAGTACTCGGATGTATGTGTATTTGTTTACCTTTGAAGAATATTTAAAAATGTACCAAGCTGATATCTGACTGATACCGGTTTGTGCTTGAGGGCAAAAATAGAGCCGTGCATCTGAAGTTTGAAACGTTTTAAGGGGATATACAAAGGCCAAATTCAATAAAGATGTGTGTGTGTGTGTGTGTGTGTGTGTGTGTGTGTGTGTGTGTGTGTGTGTGTGCGTGCGTGCGTGTGTGTGTGTGTGTGTGTGTGTGTGCGTGCGTGTGTGTGTGTGTGTGTGTGTGTGTGTGTGTGTGCGTGCGTGTGTGTGTGTGTGTGTGGGCGTGCGTGCGTGCGTGTGTGCGTGTGGCCTAGCATTACTATACTTGTGGGGACCTAAATCTGTTTACACAGTCACGTGTGGGGACTCGCCTCCGTTATGGGGACATAATGGAGGTCCCCATGAGGTTAGGGTTAGGGTTAGGGTAAGGGTAAGGGTAAGGGTAAGGGTAAGGGTAAGGTTAAGGGTTAGGGTTAGGGTAAGGGTAAGGGTAAGGGTACGGGTTAGGGTAAGGGTTAGGCATGTGTTGGTTATGGTTAAGGTTAGGATAAGTCTCCAGGAAATGCATGAAAGTCAATGTAATGTCCCCTGAAGTGATGTATACATGGTATGTGTGTGTGTGTGCGTGTGTGTGTGTGTGTGTGTGTGTGTGTGTGTGTGTGTGTGTGTGTGTGTGTGTGTGTGTGCGTGTGTGTGTGTGTGTGTGTGTGTGTGTGTGTGTGTGTGTGTGTGTAGCGGGGGGTTAAAGTAGAGATGAAAGGCCGGCCATTGCCTGCTGATGACTGATAGCATTCAGCAGGGCTTTGGCTGATGTCTGCCTGATAACACAGAGGACGGCTCAGTCTGACTGAGGAGGGGGAGGGGGGGGGAGGAAGAGCCAATCAGAAGGCACCGGAAAAAGTTGTATTTTCCATGAAAAAGTGTATGTTTAAAATGTGTGTGTACAAGGTGACATATAGGAGCCCCATTATAGGAAAACTCAATCCAAAACGAAGGCAAATATCGACCTTTTGCCGCGTTTTCCTCCATAAGTTCCATTATATTATTTTATCAGAACACTTGATGGTGCATTATAAATCTAATTATATGACAAATAACCACTGTCTTCTTTAATAATGTTTAAAAGGCTCAAACAGCCAATCAGAAATGACCGGAAAGTTGTATTTTCCTTTAAAAAAGTGTAATATGTACTGAAACAAGGTGACATAATTTATAGTATCTGGAACTAACTTATGATGGCAGAATCTTGGGAGGTATTTCATATCTTGTGCATTTATTTATACACATTTACCCAAAACATTAGGGTTAGGGTTTGTAATCGCTCAAATCATACAAGAAGAAGTGTGTTTGAGTCGTCTTATACAGGCATGATTGAGTAAGGCCATCAGACAAATGCTTCAAGACATGTTTGAGGTTGCAAGTCAATCAGAAACAAACATTGTCAGCAGACATGGTGCAGATTATTTTATCAGTGTTAGGTATATACTAAAGGTGCAGATAACACACAAGCAGCCCTCAAGTGCACACCCTTCGCTTCCTGTAGGATACACTGTGATCATGTGACGCCTTTTAAAACCCCAAACCTCTCATTCAGCCGCTGTTCGGAGCGCTGACACAGAGAAGGCCATTCTCATCCCCTGAAACAAAGACCTCTACAGCAGTAATGGTGGTGAAGAGGTTAGGGGTCAGGGGTCAGAGAGCACATGTTTCAGGAAAGAGTCGTCCCTTAACGTTTTGTAGCCTGGTTTTAACTGCCGGGCCGAACCAAGACAGCTTGACGACAGCCATGTCTGTTAAAACAAACAATCCCCACTTCAAGTTTGTTGTAAATCCTCAGAAAAAACAGTGTTACAAAGTGCTTTTCCTACACTCGCAAATCACTCAAAAACCCTGCCATCCTGACCTCAAGTGCCACGAAGTTGCATTAAAACATCAAATCCTTCTTATAAACTGGTGAACTTGCATTGATAAGCGCCTTTAACCCTGATATCAGCTTTATGTTTTGCTGAAAAAGTTGTGAAATGCTTAGAAAATCCACCCTCAAATCCAACAATCTCCACTTCCCATCTCCCCTGAGCTCCCGCTAAAAAATTGCGTTTCAAAGTCCTGTCCGAGTGTTACAAATCTTTCACAACCTGACGATAAGGAACGACACACACGGCTCGATAATCAGCTTTACAAATATCACTATCAGGGCTTAAAGAGGTCATTTTTCCCTATCAGCTCGAGCGGAAAAGCTGAAGCAGCAATTACACGTCAAGGTGCTGAAGGCAAGGTGTTCAACATCTCTGAAACATTTTAGGAAGTAGTGGTTCTTACCAGGCAGACGCAGGTGATGCAGGGGTTGTCCGTGATGTTGGGGATGTGGAGGACTTCTCCCTCGTTCTCACAGCTGGCCTCGGTACCTGAGTACGACAGCAAAAAAGTGACCGAGGTGAGACAAAGGTCTGGACTTCTGACTGTAAACAAACCTTTACCTTCGCAATCAGCTGTCAGCAGAGATGGCAAGAGTACACACATCCTTTACTCAAGTAGAAGTACAGATACTCGTGTTTTAAAATACTCTGGTACAAGTAGAAGTACTGACTAAACTTCTTCACTCAAGTAAAAGTAAAGAGGGCTTTGAAATGTACTTCAGTAAAAAGTACCCATAACTAGCAGCTGTTTTAAAGAGTACCTGACCTCCCTTTATATGAATAGAACAATAATGTCATTGTTAGCTAATGAATGTTTCCATGCTGAACAACGGCAACATGACAACGTTTTCATTGGTCCCTCTTCTTTAGAGAAGACCAGGAAATGATGGATACACGGATCGTGTTCAAATCAATAGGCACGCAATGACTCTAAATAATAATGATCACGCCACCAAACACACATTCAAACTAAAGGAACCAGCCTGTTTGGGAAATGTGAGAAGTAGAAAGTACAGGTATTTGTGTTCAACATGTAAGAAGTAGAAAGTACAGGTATTTGTGTTCAACATGTAAGAAGTAGAAAGTACAGGTATTTGTGTTCAACATGTAAGAAGTAGAAAGTTCAGGTATTTGTGTTCAACATGTAAGAAGTAGAAAGTACAGGTATTTGTGTTCAACATGTAAGAAGTAGAAAGTACAGGTATTTGTGTTCAACATGTAAGAAGTAGAAAGTTCAGGTATTTGTGTTCAACATGTAAGAAGTAGAAAGTACAGGTATTTGTGTTCAACATGTAAGAAGTAGAAAGTACAGGTATTTGGGTTCAACATGTAAGAAGTAGAAAGTACAGGTATTTGTGTTCAACATGTAAGAAGTAGAAAGTACAGGTATTTGGGTTCAAAATGTAAGAAGTAGAAAGTACAGGTATTTGTGTTCAAAATGTAAGAAGTAGAAAGTACAGGTATTTGTGTTCAAAATGTAAGAAGTAGAAAGTACAGGTATTTGTGTTCAAAATGTAAGAAGTAGAAAGTACAGGTATTTGTGTTCAAAATGTAAGAAGTAGAAAGTACAGGTATTTGTGTTCAAAATGTAAGAAGTAGAAAGTACAGGTATTTGTGTTCAAAATGTAAGAAGTAACAGTAAAAAGTCGTCAGAAAATAAGTAGTGGAGTAAAGTACTGATACCAGAAAAATGTACTTAAGTACAGTAACAAAGTATTTGTACTCCACTACTTCCCGCCTCTGTCAGGACCACATGACGTCACACAAGCTCGTGTTCAATAAGCTGTGAACTGAAAGCAGGTGAATCACGACCAGAGGATCAAACTGTACCAATCAATATTTCTGTAATAATAAGCAAGAGCTCGTAAGGGAAAACCAGAGGTCAGTTTCCCTGCGCTTTACGTATCTTTACATAGTTTTACGTAGCCTTTTTAGCATCTATTAGCTCTCTGTTATTGGTTTTGGGGAATAGTAGTGACAGAAAAGTAGGTGGAGCTACGTACAACCAAACGCCTTAAAATCATATTCAGGAGATCAAAACATTACAATTAGTTTCATGAACAGACGACAATAAGAGAGGCCACGCCATAAAACCTAAGGTACTTGGGAACATAATTTACAAATACAACAAATCCTGCATTATTAAAGAACACTTGAAACAGCCAAAGAGCCCATAAACTTACCAGGAAATACTTAGCGAGGTAATACATCAAGTGACAAGTAGGGCCATTTGATCATTGACTTCTATCTGCCGGTTGGTTGGTGCGCTAACATGTGATGCTATCTTGTTTTTTTTGTGACTAGAAGAGCCAAGAGAAGGTGTAGCTAAGTGCATAATAAGACATTTCTAGTCGTTAGTGTTGCAAGAACTGAAAGAGATAAATGGTGAGATGAAAAGAAAGACGTCATGCCTTAAAGCAAACGTTATTTTATCATCAATTTGACTCTTACATCGAGTTAGAAGTTGGGTCATTTCCTTATATGCCCTAGCCACACAGAGACGAAACGGGTCGTATCCGCTACAGTTCTCTATCAGATAGACGGTTCGGCCACACGAGGCCGACAGGGAAACGCAGATAACGATAACGGGTCCCACGGTGGGTAGATCTGCGGACGAAACGCTCTGGGGGGGCTCCGTGTTTACGCCTATACGATCATGTCCTGATAACGTTGAAGCAATAGCCCCGCCTCTCCCACCTCTCCTGCTCAGAGATCAGCTGCTGGGCTGTCAGAAGAGGGGGAGGAAAATAGAGACTTAGTGTATTATTCTTATATTATTATATAGAGTCGTTATTCATTTGTTTTAAAGCTCAATAAATAACAAAGAAGACCTTTGACCGGCACTTTTCTAATTTTGTCCGGAAGATTTAAACTTTAACGGACATGTTGACCGGTGGAAAAAAAATCTAACTGAAACTCTGCTGCACGGTCCCCTCGTTCCTTGGAAGAGGCGGAGAGGTGGGTGTTTGTCATCTGCTGGAGGACTAACCGGAGAGAATTACAGCAGCAGCACACGCTTGCCTCGGGGAGGGAGAAAAAGAGCCAGAGCGTTCACAGCGGAGAACAAACAGAAGGGCAACCAGGGCAACCATGCATGCTCGGGAAGTCTTCTTCGCTGCTTTTGGTGTATTTTGTGGCAGGACTACAGCGCCACTTACAGGCCCGGCATATGTACTACAGCGTCTCCAGCGGGTCGAGCGGTCTCGTGTGGACGGACACGTTTCTGGTGCCGATTGCGTGTGGACGGAAGACTTTTTTGATATCGAATTTGGTTCGTTTTCGTTATCGTCTCCGTGTGGCAAGGGCCATAGACTTCTATACAATCAGACGTTTTCTTGCACAGAGACGCCAGCAGGGGGCTGGCCATTATAAATAATGCATGTTTAAGGCATTTCAGTTGTATCACTTTTACTCACCGGCTAACGTTTCTTCCCTTTCTACGACACATCCCACTGTGTGCGGTTTGTCTGTCCAGGTAAAAGCACTCACATATAAACCGAGGTCTTAAAAAACGTAAGTCACTCAGTTGGTTACGAGAGCAAATGTAACCCGAACCAAGGACAGGAAACGACCCCAAAAGACAAGGGTTTATGGGTAGAAGCAGACAGATGTCAACATCTCACGGTTCCTTCTCTTTCGGATAACAGCAGAGAAAGAAACCTGCTCTTTGTTCATGTGCCAGGTTTGTTTAAATTGCTAAAATGATAACTTCCTTCCTACTCATTGTCCTGATCTGGGAGTTAGACAGAGGTCATCGGAGGTAAATCCTCATCCTTAAGCGCTCTGTTTGAGTGTCAAACTACTTCCTGTTTCCTCCAGCTGATCATATCTGTCCCTCTCTGCTGGAACAAAAAGCTGTGTATTTACTCTGACCAAACTAGAAACTCTCTTCTCCATGTTCTGCTTCATCCAGTGACTCCATCGCGATCCTTTACGGGTTTTCTTATCTCACCTTTTGGCAAAAAGCTGTACAAGCAGTAAACACCCAAAGATTTGTACACGCTCTGCAAACATGACGTTAAAGACCAAGATGTTTTTTGAGCAATATTTGTGGAGGCTCTTATCACACTGTGACCTTTAGCTTCTGACCCGCTGAATGTTTGCTTTGTTGTAATGTTGAGGTTTTAGAAAATGCACCGTTTAGCTAAATCTATGCCACAAACAACGCATGGCGATATCCTGCAGGTAAGGAGTTTGGAGGGTAGTTTCCCTACAGACTTAGACCCCCTTTACACGAGAACGAAACGGTTTGTATCTGCATAGTTTCTCTTGCGTATAGCCCTATTATTTACACAAGGCCGTAACAAAGCGATAGAAACGGACCCCACAAACGATAACGGGTCCCAAGGTGGATAGATCTGCAAACGAAACTCTCTGGGGGGTCAAACGAGTCCGTGTAATCGCCTCTATACGATAATTTCCTGAAAAAATAACGATAGCCCCGCCTCTCCCCGCCTCTGCTGCTCACTGCTGTAGCATGGCCAGTAGCTACTGTCAGTAGCTACTGCTAGTGCTACTGCTACTGACCATGCTACAGATGTTAGTGCAACATCTACAGCTCCTCTACCACAACCATCAGCAACAAGTGGACATGGAGAATTACATTAACTACTACATGTTGCTAAATCCACCGCAGGGCATAAACAGAAGGGTAGCCATGGCAACATTGCTCCGGGCTGCTCCGGGGTCTTCTTCGCTGCTTTTGGTGTATTTTGTGGCGGAAGTTACAGCGCCACTTACAGTCCCGGCATATGTACTACAGCTTGTCCAGCGCTTTCGAGCGGTCTCGTGTGAACAGACACGTTAAATGAAACGAATGCATGTGAACGGAAGACATTTTTGAAAACGCATACTGTGCATAAACGCAAACGTTCCCTTGTAAAGGCAGCCTTAAAGTGTAAGGGATGGATGTTTTAGTCTACTTAGCATTAAGATCGCTCATTAGCATGTACATTGACTAGCTTTGCATACATTAAGCCTACTGAGAGTTATAAAACGACACTGTTAACATTAAACTGATGTCCGCATTAATGGATAACTATTTCTAATCCAGAGATATAATATATACTAATCAGAAAATGATCGTTCTGCACTTTGAGCACTTTTAGTATTTAAGTATATTTTGATGCCAATACTTTAGTACTTTTAGTTCAGCAACATTTTGAATGCAAGATTTCAACCACTACTGCTTGTAGACCTTGCTTTGTTATCAGTGTGTGACAAATACCTCGACTCCGTTTTTGACTTCATTTTAGTTTGACATACAAGTTCACTAAGTAAGGAATTTACTTGACAATCTTTACATCTTTTGTTTTAATAGACAGAATGAACAGATATCCTTTTATTTTTCGAAACGGCGTCCGTTTTGCTCACCAAATAAGCCCCAAAGAGTGAGCCATACACGACAAAAACCCAGTATATGTTTCTAACATCTGGTCAGAATATGTCTCTACACCTGATATAAGACACAATAACTTCAGAAGTAACACTGTAGTGAGATATTGGGTCTTGTTTTTAGACAATGCATCATCTTGATAAGTCAAAGAATCATATTTTCAGTTGTATCTCAGATGAAACACGTATTTTTTTACATATTTATTGGAAAATCACCAGAAAACTTAACACTTTTGAGCATTTGCGGCTTGTATTGTAACACAACATTTCCTGATTCTGGTGAAATATAGTTCCAAATGAGTTCTCCCAGCTAATTACAAGATCAGATTTATCTAAATATCCCGTCTTCAAGAACTCTTACCAAGCAAATGTTTCACTTGTTCTATTGGCAGATTGTTGTACTTATTTCAAGTGAAAAAACACCTTGTTTTCATTATTGTTTAACTTGTTTTTTCCAGTGTAAGGTAAAGGAAACAAACAAACAAATGCATGCAATGGCCGCCACGCCGTCCTGGTTGCTATCAGTTTGTTTCTGGGCTGTTAATGGACCAAATCTCCACAACAATAGCTCCTTATAGCACGGATCCTGGCAGAGCAGACGAACCCTGCCGACTCCGAAACCGCTGTAAAATTTACAACCTTCGAGTGTAATTAAACTGGCTGTAAGTGGTGGTGCTGGTGGGGGCGAAGGGGGTTCAAATGAGGGGGGTTTTGGGTCTCTGAGGCCTCGTCTTCATCCTGACAAAATACCTTCCTCCTCCTCAGCTGCTGTGTTTACCTCATAACATCCAGAGAGAAAGCCAAGAGAGAAAGTATAAATCCAAACCCTGGCGCTATACATGTCATTTGATTAAAAAAAGGAGAAACAAAAGGCAGTAAAAAGGACAGAATGAGACGCACAGTGGGGGGGTTATTAAAAGCGCTGCAGCTAAAGGACAGCGGGGGGGTCGGTAAAGGTCACTTTCACTCTGACTTTGAAGGCTGATCCCGCTCCGATAGTCACGTCCATTTTAGATACAGTCGGTGAAATACCAACGTTTATTAAGGTCAGAGTCTCATAAACGTCTTACTGGACTCATGTAGCCATGTGAGATAAACGTATACACAAATAAATAGTCTTTAAATAGCTTCAGCTTCAGATATGAAACATGTCTGAGGGGAAAGTAAAAATACTCCATTATAAGTAAAAGTTCTGAATCAAAACTGTTATTAAGAAAATGCACACGAATTCAAGGTAAAACCACTCGTGATGCAGAACAATACCCCACTGTACTGGAATATTATTAATGATGTCAGTCACATTTTATAGTTCGCAGAGGAGCTCATTTCACCCACTTTATAAACTGTTACCTACAAAGTAAATGATGTCCAATAAAATAGGAATAATAAGAAAAACATTGCCTTATCAAAATGTCCGGGCAAGTCCAGGCGTGTCTTTATTTGTTCAATAAACATTTAAGTGATATATGTTAGTATAAATAGTGTTTTCCCTATTGTGAAGTGAACACAAATATATTACTTTCAAAATTAATACATTTGTAGGTTTAGTAAGAAAATGCAGTTATTTTTTATTTGTAAAAAGTTAATTTATTTATCTTGAAAACCCTGAATAGTTTTTTTTAAGTGCACGTATTCAATCGCTTAAAATATAAATACTCTAGTACAACTACCTCAAACGTGTACTTTACTTCATTTAGCTTCACTAAAGTCATAATAACAAGGGGTGGTTTGAAAAAGAAAGACATGAGTTATCCCCATAGATTTAAGAAGACTTATATATCATCATAATTCAGATTTGCCCAGAATAACTCTGCTACAAAATACATGTTATTATAAATCTGACGTTGGCAATTATGTCACCGCATTACAGACAATTATTAAAAGTAAAATCAGTTCTTAAATCAGTGAAGTCCATGAGGTTTCTGGTTAAAACTGATGGCAATTAGGGTCTAATAAAATGTACTTTTAGTAACTTGTATGCATGTTTTTCTCCAGTCGACACACGCCTTTCTGATTTCAAAAAGGTAATTTATGAGATTATCAAAGTGTATTAAGGTCAGTAGAGTGATATAAAGAGAAAAGGGTCACAAGCAACACGTGTCCAGGAGCAGTAATGCTGTAAAAACACTTTAACCGGTCCCACTGTAACACCTCCACCCAAACAGACACCATGACACAGAGCATATGGCGGAGGAATCTGATCCTCAGCTGATCACAGGCAGGTTGTTGCTTTTCTACACGGCCTCTTCTTGTCAAACATTTCCCACTTCAGAGACCCATCTGGTCCCGGTTTGCTCCTCTCTGATCCCCATCGCTCTGTTCGCTCCACAGATACGAGTCAGGAGGAGATGGGAAGCTCTGATAATCACAAGTGATTCTTATCAGACGGATGTGAAAACAGGTACTTCTGTCTGTGCTTGGCATGATGTGGACGTCTGATGTCAAAGAGAAAGGGAAACCTCTGTTCTGAATCACTTTAAAGGGGTTCTTATTGTGTTAAAGAAATTGGACTCACTTTACTGGGAGTGAAAGCTTTTAGTCACTGGGAAGAGTCTGGAAATAATCTAAATTGATTTGTCTCTCTGCTTGATTTAAAAACTTTTTGTGACGATCATTTTGATGGTACTGTTTTAATATTTCAACATGTTAATTATGTGGTGGAAGAAGTACTCAGATGTGTAGACTTTTGTAGACTTGTATAGACTTTTACTACCACAGTGTTCAACTTAAATTACCAAAACTAAAATTACACATAATGCAGAATGTCCATTATCAGAATAATATATCGCTGGATAATAATTAGTGATCCTTAAATAATCTGAACATAATTTTAATTTTGCTGCCGGATAAAAGCGGAGTTTTCAATTCTTGACCTATTTAAAATATGACTCAGCAGATACTTGTGTTCACAAATGATTGAGTAAAAATTGTTTGCTTCCACATTTAATTGGAGTAGAAGTATAGCATGCAATGGAAATACTCAAGAACCACACAACGCTAAATGCAGTACTTTGATTAACACCAGTGGTTATTTGTATTATTTCCCCAACATTATATGCTTCTGTCTTTGCTAGGTAGCCTTATAAGTTATAGTGTTGATCTCAAATAGTCTTACTTTTTGAAATATGTTTTTTTTTTTTATTGAATTAGCATGAAATTCACCTATTTTGAGCAAGGAACCGCTCCCAAAGGAACTAAAACCCAGGTAAATATCATATTGCCTTTAATGCC